GATTTCATCATATATATATATATATTTTTTATAAGTAATTAAAAACTATCAAAACGAATTACAAAGTAATTAATATAATTAATATACGAGGTTGTACGATGATTATGAATTTTCCATATTTGGGGATTATTTACTGCAATAATTGCTTAGGTTACCTAATTTATAGAAAAAATTTTTGTCGGCAAATCTTATTTGAGATTGAATTACCATAATTTCTATCTATTGCTTAATTGTTTTGCCCGATGAACTGCAACTTAAAAATATACTCTAACTCAGTTTCCAACTCATCAATAAAAGGCAAAAGATTATTTTTAAATCTCAATATATACAAAAAAAAATAATTTACCAGAAACTTGTATTAAAAGTCCAATATTATTTTTCATAAAATATCATTATGTCTTATTTTCCTGATTTTATTGTGGGAATTAAACAATTTACATCATAATTTTAATGAGGACAATACCAAATACAATGATGAGCATCATTTTGAAACAATAAAAAATGACAAGAATATCTTAATATTTCATTCGCTGTGGACACCTTTTCAGAGGCCAATCGTTCAAATTCAATAAATTCTTAGATTTTTGACATTAAAAAATATTTATATATTCAAATATTAAAAGCTTGTAACTATGCGAGAAAGAAAAAAAATTTGGTTCATTTCATCAAAAGTTATGATCAATAGAATTACGCCAATTTTAAGTAACGATAATCACGTGGTCCAATACTTTTGACCGGGGAGTGTAGCATAATAATATACAAAATATATAAAATCTATATTTTATCTTTAAAACTAATAAAGTATAAACTAACAAATCTATATAACGATAAGCTCCTATATTCTTGATATCACTTCACCTTTATATTCAAAGTTCAGTAAGAATATTTCAAATTTTTATATTTAAAACTTATCGTTATTTCAACTATAAAATGAAATAAAAATATATATTATAATAAGGGTTACATATTTATCATATGTTAACGATTATTAAAGTTAGGGGATTATGAATTGAGATTAGTTAAGGGGATTAGGAAATTTGTCACATCGCGTCACATCTCAGCCGTTCTTCAATTTACCAAGTATTCTGGGGACTTGGAAAAATTTTTTGTGAAAAAAAATGCTAATTGACACGATTAACGTCACCCCTAATAAGTATATTTGACCCGGCAAATAAAATCCGGCTACCATTTTTTCAGAGCGACGCTAGGACTAAATAAAACCTATATGTAGTCCGTATATTTCAGATTTTTTTTAAATCTATTTATGAAATTGGTAGTAGTAATCGGAGGCATTTATCAAAAGTAAATTGATATAAAAATAACGTAACAGAACGCATTTTTGAAAATCCTAATGAAAAAAATTTTTTTTCTTGATGTGTTCGTATTATTATTATTTTTGTAATAATAATTTTTTTTCAAAAAAAAAAAAAACAGAAAAGACAATTATTTTCGTAGAATTTGGAAGGAAAATAACAAGAAGAATTTAGAGTTATGTAGGTTTAAATTAGTAAGTGACTTATCAAAATCCGTAATAAATTTCATAAGGGACTATACATATATTTGATACATATATTTGATTTAATTAATACATATTTTATGTTAGGAAGAAACGAAGCATTTTTAAATCACGTTGTATTTAAAGGAATTAACAGAAATTTCACAATATTATTTTTATTAATATCTGGGTGTTTATTGGTAAAAATCTGTGAATAAACGTAAAAAAAAAAATGTCGTAATCAGAATGAAATTATAACGAAACAAAGGTTTAACTTTTTTAAGTTAATCAAAATTAAGTATCTCACAAAGATCTACTTGACACAGTTTTGTCATTATTTTTTGAAATGAAATTGTATCAAGAATCATCCAGACCGATGACAAGGCGGAATTTCTTTTATTAATAAATGATTTTCTCTTTTATTCTTTTAAAGGATGACAACGTTTAATTAAGTCAAGTATCGAGAAAATAAAGTTTTTGATGTACTTTACGTCATGTCGGAAATGCGCCAAATAAAAATGCCGACAGTTAAGAAACGGCGCCCGGTCCGGTTAATCTTGTATGTGCATAAATTAAAATCAACAAATTAGGACTTATTTGTGCAGTTTAAAAGTAAAAACTCTCGGAATCCAGTACTAAATATCAACATTTCAAATGTATAAAGTATTCCTAATGTGCTTCATTGCATATAATCTCTTGAAAGTGTTCTTATTAGAACTTGAAGTAAAATTGAGTCATTGCTAACGCACAGAACTCGCCCTTTTTTTAGAGACATTTCTATTTCTGAACATGTATATGTATCTAGCTTTAACCAATATAAATCATAAGAAACAAGGGAGAACTTCAAACTCATTCTGCTTTTCATACTATAACATCCAACAATTTATTTACCCCGTAGGATTTAAAGCCTTTACAATATAAATCGGGTTGCTTTCTTTCATTGCTTCCACAATAATCATCTGGCGATTACGTTTCAAACATATTAACGCAGTAATTCCTTGCTCGCATTCTCTAAAGTCTACGGTTATTCCTAATAGCATTCATTCAAAAAATCTATAATAACTATTGCTCCATTCAGCAGTTCTATGATCAATTTTTTCGTTGTAGGAAATTGAGTTGTGAAGCGATTTTTTTTTTTTTTTAAAAAAAAAACGGAATGGATCGATCAGACGATATGTTTCGCAAGTACAGATCTTTACCCTTTCTATTACGAAATTTCCATAAGGGAAATGGTCGGGGCATTTGAGTAACGTAAACAACAAATATAATTAGTATTTTTTTAATGTGTCCTTTTAATTTATTGTTAGGTAATAAATAAGGACATAAAGCTTTGTTTGTGACAACAACAAAATTTTACGAAACATATTTTTTGCAGTTATTTTGCTTGGAAAGTAAACCAATTAAATCAATTACCTTTTAATATGTTTAAATGTACAAGAAAGATTAAATACATTTTCTTAAGAGATAAAAAACGCGATTTTTTGAATATAAAAAGTAAACTTATTTGCATTTAATTTCGCAAAACAAATTTTTTTATTGTTTTTTTTTTTTTTTTTTTTTTTTTTTCCTCTCAAGACGACGGCTAATAAATTAAATATATACTATAAATAAAAAGGTTTACTTTTTTTTATACATATTTTTTTTTAAAAAAAAAAAAAAAAAAAGCAAGTTGCTACAAACCTTGAACTTGTAGTTTTGCTTAAAAACGAAGTTCATAACGAAAGCACTAAAGTGCAACTGACAACTTCCTTTTTTGAAAAAAAAAAAAAAAAAAAAAATTGAGCTTTTTTAGGACGCATATATTATTTTATACCGGCAAATAGTTGTAATATTATCCAGCTAATAAAAAAAAAAAAAATCATGCCCACCACTACAACCACCTCCACCGCCACTACCATCACCGTCACCACCGCGGTTTCTCGCTTGCCCTCACGACTTCCCGCCAAATCTAACAGTAGTATAAATGAAATTTCAACTGGGCAACAGATATCTCCCATCATGCCTTCAAAATTACAAAAGGGCTTGGTAAAAACGAACCTGAAGCCGTCGTCTGCTGGTATAAATAATGTTCCTACTATCGTTCCTCCCACTACGCAATTACAAATAACCACCAACACGGATCCTACGAAAACCAAATTGCCTCTCAAGACGAATGTTGACGTTATGAATAAGACCTCTCCGGTAAGCAGTTTGCTACCTACTCCAAAATCAAATATTTCTTATTCTTCAATCGCAAATGATCTAAGCCCCACAAAGAGAAATTCGACTAAACCTTCCCGCCAAGCTTCCTTATTGAAGCGAAAAAATGATGATAGTCGTACGCAATTTAGTCGTAATGTACGTGTTGCTCCTTTCCCACACAACCGAAAATCCATCATCCAAACTCCAAAGTACATCTCGAAAAACATGGTTAACAAGAAGGCAAAAGCTGTACAACAACCTCGTATCTCCAAGAAGAAATCTACCAGTTCCATTGAGGCTCAAAGTAACGTCGAAATCAAAGAACTCCGTACGGAAAATACCAAACTACTCTCAGAAGTTGAAAAGCTCCGACTCGAAAATGAGAAGTTACAGGCCGAAAAGAAGGAACTCATGCAAGAAAAAGGTTTGTTGACTGCCGATGTTTGTCAAATGGAACATCGTTTAGCTTGTGAAGATTCACGTGTTATCGAGTTAGAAGAGGAAGTTGCCGATTTACGTAAACAATGCAGTATATTAAAAAGAGAACATGACCAAATAGATCGCGACCGTGTCCATTTTCGAAACGAATTGGATATTGCCAATAACCTGATTATTGAGCAAGCTACCACGATGTCCGACCAGCAAGCTCTCATCGAAGAACTCATGACCCAAATAGACGAACAAGAACGCGTTTGTCAGGACCTCCAGAACGCCATCGACACTTTCAAAACGAATCATGCCCTTAACGATAAAACCGTTTCCAAAGAAAACTGAACATTCTAACCCAATCACATCGTTATCAATAGGCAAGGGTATGCATTACATGAGAAGCGCTCGGATCACGTGTAAGATGAGGAGGAACCTCACCTCTATTTAAGAAGGAAAAAAAAAAAAAAAAAAAAAAAAATAGTCCTTCTATAATTTAAAATTTTCTTTTTCATTCGATTATCTTGACGGAACTAATTCTCAATTTAATTTTGCATGCGTCAGTGGACACAAAATATAACTTACATTCTTTTCTTGTCAATATTCTCATCTAACGAATTTAATGTTTGTTCTTTTACTTTAAATCTTTTGTTTTATTTAATTATTATTATTATAATATTCTCCTCATTCTATAAATGAATTAAAATTTTTCTTTACAATTTTTTACGCATAAAATCATTATGTTTAAGCAAAATCTGTTTTGTTCTGACATAATAATTTTGCTGAAACTGTGAATAAAGCTCTTTTTAAGCTGAAATTTCTAATGATGAATGTATAAATAAAATCGATCGTTTATTAGATTGGGACATATGTATAAATTGGTTTTTTATAAAATAAAAGATAAATAAATCATCTGTCTACAACTCATTCAAAAGCGAGAAGAAAAAAAGGATTTTTTCTCTTCTCGTAATGCGCTCGTATCATGTTTACGTTTCAACGTACTTTTCTCGCTCAACTATCAAAAACCTTTCAGTGTAATTTTTTTTTAATTAATCGTGTATTTATTGCCAAACTTTGTGTTAATCTTAATATTAATAATATACAAATATTATAAGTGAAATAAAAAAGTTATTAAAATTTGAATAAGATAATAATATTATGAGATGATATTAATTATAAAGCCAATTATTATAATAAATCTAAATCTAAAAAAAAAAAAAATTAAAATTTATGATTTTTTAAATGAATTAATCTACTAAGTCGTTTTTCCCGCAACAAAACCAATTTTTCTTTGATTTCTTTTTCTTTTCTGTTTTCGATATTGAACGAGTAGGGTTAATTGATTCTACAATTTCATCCGAACTTTCTTCTTTTTTCTTTTCGGTTTCAATACTACAAATGACGAGATAAATTTGAGAGTAATAAATTATGAGATGATGAAATAAACAAACGTAAATTGACAACTAACATATTAGAGCTTTGATTCATAAAATAAATAAAGTTTTTATTGAACTTAAATACTAATACATATCAATCATTAATTTCATACGTTTTAAAATTACAAAATTTCCATTCTATTTAAAACAAGTAAGTCTTAAAATACAGTTAAAAGCAATATATGTATTGATTGCTTACACTTTCTTCCCTTTCACATAGGTTGATACAACCTCGGCAAAATGTTTGCCTTGATCCCTTGCAATTTCTTTTTCTCTATCTGAAACAGGGCGGGAAGCGTCCGATCTAATTATTATAATAAAGAAGTTAGAAAAATCATAAAGGAAAAAAAAAAAGAAGAGATCTGTATATATACCCAGTAATTGTGCCACTTCCCCATGGACCACCTCCGATAATTTCATCGGTTTGACCAAAGTAAGGTAATTTGCTTACAAGTGGAACGTAAATGATTCCGTGATGAGCTAAATACGTGATGGCAGTGTAAGCCGTGGTTTCTTGCCCTCCATGTTGAGTTGCAGTTGAAGAAAAGATTCCGGCAAATTTGTTGTTCAAACTACCACTGGACCATAATTTACCGGTGCTATCCAAAAATGATTTGAATTGAGCTGGCATAGAACCGAATCGAGTTGGAAATCCAAATAAAATCCCATCGGCTTCAGCTAGCACTTCGGCTTTAATGTAATAAAAATATTTTATTAGTTGTATTAATCAACCATATAATTGATATGAAAATTGGATTAATATGCTTACGTGTAATAATTGGAAGTTCTGGCTTAGGTGGAGCGTACATTTTGGTTAAAACTTCTTGAGGAAGAGTTTCAGGTACTTGATACAAATCGAGTTGAATGCTTGAGTCAGTTGATTCAATTCCTTTCTTGATCTCTTGGGCCAATTGGTAGACATGAGTATACATAGAATAGCTATTATAATCGATATAGGATTTAATTAGGAACGTGTCAAAAAAAAAAAAAAAAAAAAAAAAAAAAATTATCATTTAATTACTCACATGACAATAATAATTTTAACCATTTTAGAAATTTTTTTTTTTTTGGACGAATTTAAAAAGTTTTTTGATTATTTTTTTTTATATAAATGTTTGGGAATGAGTTTTCAAAATTGCGGATTCATGGACTCGCTTATATACTTTTTCTTGACTATATTTTTTGGGGATCATTTCATTACAAATTAATGATTTGGCAAAAAATTATTAATCAATGATCTTCTGATTCGATTACAAATATTACAAATCAAAACAAAAGGAACAATACCTGAATTTTTCACGTGACAAAAATCTTTCAATCACAACAATAATCGACACGTGGATTAATAATCAAGTAGATAATCAAGTATCGACATTTCAATAATCACCATTGGAAGTAACCCCGTAGATCCATCAGATGTATTATATTCGCAAGGAAAAAAATTACTCATGTTAGTCAAAGTAAATTTCTATTGAGGTACACAGATTTTATATTTGGACATAAGAATCGGCCAATTCAATTATTCGTTACTAATCCTAATAAATTATAATTATAATTATACAAATTCTTTTTCTAATGCTTTAATACAAGGTTATGAAAAAATTTATGTTACGCAAGATGTTAAAAAATCAAATGTTCTATATTTGCTTGGCATAAAAGTTTATTTTGATCAATAGTTTGAAACAGATAAATTAAATGTAAAAAGTATATGCTATATAAAATTTATGTTACTACAGGTGAAAAAGTTGTAAAAAGTATAATAAAGTTTGAAAATTTAAATCGTCATTATTAAGTGTTTATTATAAAGTTAAAGTTTTTTTTCACATTCATACATGCTAGAATAAACGACCACGTCTCCTCTCTTTTCTTTAGATAATAATTCGCGTATATTTTACAACCTCTCATCTAATAATTTATCTTTCTTTCTAATTTAAACATATCAATGTTTCATGATAAAACAAACTTGATCCCTGTGCCTAAAAATGGTTTGAGTGAGAACGTTTCCCCAATTCGTTTTTCGTCGTCACAAGAAAGTTCTTTAAATATTCTTGACAATGTTTCGTTGGGACAAACCGGAAATATTCGACGGGAAAATGGATCAAAATATTCTTACAATGACAGGTATCAACAAATGCGTCTTTCAAACAGTATTCAACGTTCAATCGAATATATAATAATCATAAGTGTATAAACTTGATAATCTAATGATGAATATTTTTAAATAAAAAAATATTAAAGGTTTATTCCTATCAGAAATGAAGATATGATATCCGAGTTTCAGAGAAGTTCGGCATTCAAACCACAAAAGCGGAAAAGAAATTCATCTGAAGATCAGGGTAAATAATAAGATATATGTGTATATGTTAAAGTCTCCAGCTTCTTATTTCGCGATTTCTCTCCGCAGAAAGTGAACATTTTCGCAAAATAATTGTGCAAGAAACCATGTTCCCTACTCATTCTACTAATGACGAGATTATCAAACGTATTAATGATGGTTCGGTTCCTTCTACCGATAATATTTTGAATTATCGAAAGTCATTCAATAAACGACCCGGAATAATCGATACACCCTATAGAGAAGCTTATGCTAGTACTCTATTCTCGCATCAAGTGGAAGAATTGATGATATCTCCACAACAACCTAAAAGAAAAATTAATTCGCGACCTTATCAAATGCTTGCTTTCTGTAATGAATTGAAGCTCAAGGTACACATTCATCCATTTTTATTTCATTATATGTGACGCGTATTAATCACTTTCTTTTTAGGATGATTTTTATTTGAACATTATTGATTGGTCTTCGTTTAATATGTTGAGTCTGGGGTTAGATTATAGCGTTTATTTATGGAATTCAGGAAATTCAAAGGTTTGTACGTGAATAATTTTTAAGAGTTTATGTATGTTATTCTTATATACGTGAAAAATTATCGGAATTTTAGATGACAAAGTTATGCGATTTGGGACTTCCACATGCTATTTCGTCTGTCAAATGGTTTCCTCAGGTATATATTTAATACATATATCGAGTAATATTCTGTCGATTATATTATTCTCGATTTGTTTTTTTTTTTATAGAACTATCAACTTGCTGTTGGAACGGCAGAAGGAAAGGTTCAAATTTGGGACACTCAGAAACTTATGAAAGTTCGTGAGTTTCATGGACATAAGTCACGTGTCGGTAAGTTGATCCTTTTTTTTTTTTTACCAAATAGGTTTATCTTAAAACTTGATTCTTTTAAAGGAACTCTTGCGTGGAATGGAAACGTTTTAAGCTCGGGTAGTGGAGATCGTATTATTTATCATAGGGATCAAAGGTGTCCGAATAACAACGTTCAATCTTCCATAGGACATAAATCCGAGGTAAAGTGTCATTTTTTATATTTTTAATGCACGATGACATTCTATCAATTCTTACTTTATGATTTCATGCCCTAGATTTGTGGACTGAAATGGAATCTCGAAGGGGACCAATTGGCGAGCGGTGGTAATGCCAACGAGCTATTCATCTGGGAAGGCATGAATCCTACCCCGGCTCGAAAATTAGAAGGTCATAATGCTGCAGTTCGTGCTATTTCGTGGAGTCCTCACGTTCGTAACTTATTGGTCAGCGGAGGTGGTCATTTAGATCGACAGATCCGATTCTGGAACACAATGGATGGTAGATCCTTGGGATGTTACAACGCAAAGTCTCAGGTTGATCCAACTTCGATCATTGATCAATTTGTCATGTTTAATTATTAATTCTTTTTTAAACCCCTCTTATGATATAGATTTGTAATCTGCAATGGTCTTTAACGGCAAATGAAATTGTTTCAACACACGGATGGTGGAAAAATGATGTTATTATCTGGAAGTACCCATGCATGCAAAAAATTGCAACGTTAAAGGGACATTCTTATCGTGTTCTTTATTTTTCTCTTTCGCCAAATGGAGAAGACATCGTGACAGGAGCAGGAGGTGACGACAATACGTTGAGGTTCTGGAAGATTTTTAACACTTTAAATAAGATTAAGAGAAGTGTGACGAAGACATCCACATTGAAACCTGATGGGCTTATTCGTTAAATGAACGTTAACAATGTTTTATGCATGTTAATAATGTTACTTTATTATTTATTTGTAGTGGTTTGAGAATTTGTATTTTTATAGTTTGTATGGTATATGGTACATCAAAAATGCTAACATTAATAATTATCAATTTAAAAAATTGATTTTCTCACAAAATCTCGTGATGAATCATTTAAAGGAAAGAAAGTTGTATGTTACACTAGTCACTTGATCGACAAGATCACTGTAAATCTTTTTAAAAAGAGTATAATATTGCGGGGCAAAATTCATGACAAAAGTCGAAACTCTATAAAGTTTGACAGTAACATCATTACTAGATTCTCATTTGTTAACAGTCATTTTGTCTTACAACCTTATCCCTATATGAAAATTGATCTGAGTTGAAACTGGTGATTTACTAGTAAATATAAGATCATTTGGACATAGTTTAACAAAACTATATCTAGTCAAAGATTTTTTGTAATTCCGATATAATTGCTAATATTTAAATTTGCCTTATAATAAGCTTCTTACTAAATCGATACATTTTTATAATTTAGACTCTAATATCTTCGCTTTAAATTTTGCAAAAAAAAAAAACATTTTAAATTATTGTCTCTTTCATGTAATGGCTCGTTTTTCCAAAAAAAATATCATTACGCTCAAGAAATAATAAATAATTATTTTGGGCACAGCTCTCTAAATAAAAAAATTTTTTCTCTGTTATTTTACAAGAAAGCGAGGTGTCATATAGTTTTTTTTAGGTTATTATGTATTTAATTTGTTTGAATGCGGATCTAGGGATCAACATGTATATGTTTTCACTTTAATTAGTTGACCCGCTTTTTTCTTCGTCATAATACTTTAACTTGAGCATATAACTAAAGATGACACCGCAATTAAAAAAAATGGCGCAATTGAGTTGCAATTTGTGGAACTTGTGGCGCAATAAATTTCCTTATGGCGCAATTAAGTTGCAATTGAAAATCTTGACAACAGTAACTGATTATCATACAAAGATTAATCATTTTATCATTTTATTTTTGATGGTGTAATGTTTACAATGGAGGTAAAATTGTAAATCAAAAATACTTTTTGCACTTTATTGTTACAATTGTATTTTTACATTTAACCTATTTATAGGATATGATTTCTCTATTTTTAATAACAACGTATATTGTTGTGAACTATATATATTGCAGAAAATCTTGTTTCATTCTTTTCGAGATAAATGAATCTTCTTATTTAGCGTCATCCGGATTATCGTCAAGTTTGCAAATTTTTGTTAAAGTTTAATTAACAACCCCTGAATGTTTACCAATTTTTTTTTCTTGTAATACAGTATTTTAGAATTTCCATTTTGTACAGTGATAAATATTCTAATGGAAAGTATACGAGATTTCTTCTAACGAAGTAATATGGAGAAGTCCCGTACAACTCGTATTTTTTGTATTTTTGTTAAAAAGCAACCACTTTCTCAAAAAAATCTCTTCTTGAAAAAGATATAATCAATCATGTTCACCAATCCAATATACACTCTACCTCCTCTCGAATTTAATCAACCAGAACAGCGCTTAATCCCACCATTATATTTTGGACCGCCTCCTCCGATGGTCCCAAGAAACAAACCTTCATTCAACCGTTGCTTTACCCACGATATTTTCATAAGTTCCCAAGAACGTCGCTATATCTCAACTCCACTTCAAGGTGCCCCTTCAGGTACTCGACATAATAATGGTCTCTACAATACCGAAGTAACCACATTACCACCGCATGAGCTTACGAATCCTTTTGTAAGAAAAGCAAATGATCGTCGTGGTGGTATTGTAAAAAAATGCTTAAAATATAGTATAGACGTTGCTTGTATTCCCATTACAATACCCGATGATAATTTCTCAAGGACTCAAGATCAACTAACTATTTTGGAAAAACTTCGAGATTCTTCCAACATTTTGAAATTTTATGGGCTCTCTCGTGATGATAATCAATTTTTCATGATATTTGAATGGGCCGAATTAGGAAACCTTCTCGAAGTTTATAACATATACGATATTTCTTGGAACGCAAAGGTAAAAAATAAATACTCTCAAAAAAAAATTAAACTTTTTATTCCCAAAGGTATCAATTGCCTTTGATATTTGTCATAGAATTTTTTACTTGAATTCCTGTTTGATCTTTTATCATAACATTCGTTATGCAAACATTACAATAACACCATATTTAAAACCTAAAATTATAAAATTTAGATATGTGATCAATAAAAGTAAAATAATAATGAATATTATGAATATGTACCAAATATAGACAATATTATTAATTGGATGGCTCCTAAAAAATTCGAAATTACCGATATAATGAAGAATGTGAAATGTTTAATTATTTATAAGAAATTTGACAATTATCATTTTATTATGAATTTTTAATAATATCAAAATTTTTAAATTTATAATTTAGAATTTTATTATAGGAGCTTATTTTTAAAACCATTTCTTACAAGGGTTAGAATTTATGAATAATAAAAAATCATATTTTAAATAATCATAGGGAAAATATAAACATTAAATTAAATAATGATGAAAAACTTCAAGAAAGTTATTTTAAAATCATTAAAAATAGTAAGTATTATTTTTATTAAAAGAATAATAATTTTATTTAAAAATTTGATTAATTTCAATGTTTTTTTTAGCTTAGCATCATAATTTAAAAGAACGTTAAATCTTCAGACAGTTCTCTTCAAGCTTAATAAATTAGTTTTTAACTACCATCAAAATGGATTTTCTCAAAGTTTGATTCTAAAGTATATTAATCAACTTATTGCTAAATCTGTTGATGAGTTAGAGAATAAAGCAAAATATAGATTAAATATGCTATTAAATATAGAATTATTAAATCAATAGAATGGTCTAAATTACAATATCATCAGAAGATTGAAGCAGAAAATTTTGAAATAGTATTTAAAGTATATTAATCTAATATTCATAGATTTGTTATTTATAAAAAATTAGTTATTTTATCAAACATTCAATTTAAAATATAAGAAGTATTTAAATATGAATAACAGATACAGAATAGAGCATATACAGACCCATCAAAAGTCTCTGAACACCATTTTTTAGATGTGATTTCATACAGATAACGTTATGTGATTTTATAATACTGCAGTCATATGACATTCTGATCTTTGTTTACATAAGTCAAATCTAATAAATACAAATTTGGTTTGTTTATTTTGACTTTAAATCAAAATAAACTTTAATCTTCTGAAAACAACAAAAATGACTCAAGAATTAATAGCAGAATAATGCGACACTATATTTTTTTGCCATCAATATGGTGATAGTTACTGAATTATTTCTGAGACTATCGGTTGTGAAGTGTTAACAGTATTTGACACTTTAAAAGGATAGATAACACTGAAACTACTAATTCGAAGCCTCATTTCAATCGACTACCTCTTATTGAACCTTCACAACGAAACTAACTCAAGCGACTTGTAACTAATAATAAAGAAAAAAATTATCGCTCATGCACTGCAGAAGTTCAAAAACTTTGGAAAAAAAGACCAGCCAAACTGTTTCAGTTTACACTATTGGCTGGATACTTTGTACAGCTGGGCTAAACAATTATCTTGCTTGATAAAAACCTCTAATCTCACCAGCAAATATGGAGGCATGTCTTGTATGAAGTTTAGATTACCAAAGCTAGACAAAGGATAATTGGTTAAAAGTTATGTAGAGTGATGAATCGACCTTTTCTCAATTCTAATAAAGTCGATATAGTCAAGTGTGATGAGAATCTCAGAAAAAGTAGAACATTTCTTGTGTTTCTGTTACATTGAAACACAGCCTTAATCGAATGTTTTGGGGATGCTTTTTAAGACAAGGCTTGAGATCTATTGTTCCATTATTTAGAACAGCAAATGGTGCTTCACATGTTATCATCTTTCATAAGTACATTATACCAACTATGAGACGTGCATTTCTAAATGGTAATAGTATATTTCAGGAGGATAATGCTCGCCTCTATAAAATGAAACTTGCAAAATAATTTCATGCAGAAAATAATCTACGCATACTTCTATGGCTAGCTTAAAGTCCAAACCTTAATCTAATTGAGAATCTGTAGGCCGATATCAAGAAAAGCATTTGTAAAAGAAAAAAAAAGCCTTCAAATCTTGCTAAACTCAACCAATACGTTAAGAAAGCATGGCGAAAAATTCTTATACATACTATTGAAAATTTGGTTGATAATATGCTACAGTAAATTTAGGTTATAATTGAAGCAAATAAAGGCTCGACCTAGTACTAATTACTTAGTATAAAATATATAGTATATCATACATTAATAAATATATTAATAAACTTTTTTCAATAAACTTTAAAATTTTAAGTTTTATATTGAGCTAAAAGGTGTTCAGAGACTTTTGGTGAAGGTCTATAGTTATGAAAATATTATTTGTATTTTAGGAATAAGTAAAAGCGAGTTCTCAATATTCTATTTATTTATTTTATTATTATTTAAATTATCATAAATAATAATATTTATATTCTTTATTTATAAATAAATATTCTATTATTATGAAATATGCTAATGAAGAAGATTTAAATGTATATTTTTTAAAAAATTTTGAAAAGCTTAACTAAAATAAAATTTGAATTAGCTTTGAATATTATAAATGGATTACATTACAGTTACATTTTAATATAATAAAGTAGCTGATCTAGTCAATTAGGCTTTTATTATAAAATCTTCATTAAAGCTATAATGAATTATTTATATTGAATAATTTATTATAGTATTAATATCATGTAACTTAACATTTTAACACTTTATGATGTTATTTTATTTTACTTTTTTTTATTTTTTATTATATTATAAATTTTTATTTTATTTTTTATTTTATTTTTCTTTTAAAACTGATTTTTAGAAGCTAACCAGCCTTCTTTGAATCTTAGAAATAAACTGCTAAGTTAAATTTTTTTGAAAAAGTAAGATTCTCTAAAAACGTTTTTAACATTCTTTTTCTTTCTTTTGTAGAAATAGTTATTTGAACTCTTTGAACTTCTAAATCTCTTAAAATTAGAAACTGGTAAGTGAATTTTAAACTTAGGCAAGTAGATGAATTTCTTTTAAAACGTTTTTAATGTTTTTTTTCTTTCTTTTTGTAGGAAACATTTTTTAGATTTTTTTGACTTCTAGATCTCTTGAAATTAGAAACTGGTAAGTAAATTTTGAACTTAGGCAAGTAGGTAAGTTTCTTTGAGAATATTACTAATGTTCTTTTTTCTTTCTTTTTGTAAGAATGATTTTTTAAGCTCTTTAGACTTTTAGATTTCTTAAAATTATAAACTAGTAAATGAAGTTTAGGCTTAAATGAATAGATAAGTTTTTTTAAGAATATTTCTAACATTTTTTTTTCTTTCTTTTTTATAATAATAGTTTCTTAGACTCTTTAGACTTTTAAATCTCTTAGAATTAAAAATTGATAAGTAAATTTTAAGTTTAGGTAAATAAGTAAGTTTCTTTGAGAATGTTTTTAATATTCTTTTTTCTTTTTTTTTGTAAGAATGATTTTTTAAACTTTTTGAACTTCTAGATCTTTTGTAATTAGAATTGATAAATGAATTTTAAGCTTAAGTGAGTAGATAAATTTTTTTGAAAATATTTTTAACGTTCTTTTTCTTTTTTTTGTAAGTACAGTTTCTTGAACTCTTTGAACTTTCAGATTTCTTGAAATTGAAAACTGGTAAATGAAGTTTAGGTTTAAGCAAATGGATGGGTTTCTTTGAAAACATTTTTAACAAATTTTTTTCTTTTTTTTAAAACTGACTTTTTTTAGATTTTAAAAACTAATTGGTAAGTTGAATTTATTTTTTTAGAATATATGAACTTCTTTAAAAATATTTGCTAAGATTTTTTTTTATAACCGACTTCTTTATTTATATCTTTACTGTAATACAAAATCTTCATTATATCAAAAAAATTTGTTATAAATAATTTATTATGAAAAGAGCCATTTTATATGTAAATTTTCTCAGACTTTAATTCATTAAATATAGTAAAAAATTTTAATTAACGAATTTAATATAATAAGATTTTTTAATATTTAAAATTTGTTCTGATATTAAAAATTCGTTATATTATAAAATTCATTATATCAAAATTCATTATAGAAAGAGTTGTCTGTATTTGCATAATAAAAATATTTGTATAAAGATCTTGTAAGTGCTACTGTTAACGTGCAATCCTTGCGAATTGCGACAGTTAGACGGGGTGTTCGAGTGGTGATTCTTTTAAGTTTACGT